AAAAGGCCATCACAGACGCACATCTTCTCTCTTACCCAGCCTCAACTCGCTCGGATCGTTTCTCGCTAGCGCAGGAGGTCTGGCTAGCACGAATACAGGCCAAGAGGGCACGTCCTCCCCATCTTCTATCCCACAATCCAACTCGGGAGGCTTGAGCACCGATGCCGAGCTCATGATCTCCCACCCATCCCCGACCGAATGGGCAGACGAGATGAGCCCCGTTAAAGCACGTTCTGGCTGGGATTCAACAAGAGCATCTTCCCGCACTACACAAGCACAGCATCGAGCCACGCATCGCAACTTGAGCGAGGAAGTGCGTTTCCGTGGTCAGACGAATCGGATGTCCGACAACAACACAAGCAGCAACCAGTCCTTCATTGCTTTTCCTTCCCCGACTTCGCCAACCATGACCGAAGCTCAACATTCGGAACGTCCGGTCAAACAATCATTAGGATCAACAACTTCTTCGGCTGCAAGCACCGCTCTCGACTCAGACAGACTCATTCATAGTCCAGAACCGTCGACCAGCACCTTCTCTTCAACTGCGGACACTCCTGCTACTTCAGTCCGATACTCTCCGACTTCGACTCCCAAGGAGATGCCGGAATGCTCTCCACTGTTTTCTCCTTCGCCACCACCTCCCTCGGACACAACTGTCAAAGCGGATAATCCTCACTCTTCCTCTTCGGCCCGCTATCCGACTTTGCCCCGCTCGTTCACCGCTTCTCGCTCCCCTGCTTCGTACGCCAAGGGACCGGCTCAAGAGACGAATGCACGGGCAAGTGCTCTTGGCAGGACATCGTCTCTAAGCGCCGCTACCGGACGATGCACTTCAAATCGCCTCGACGATGTTCTTTCCAGTGACGAAAAGAGTGTGCAGAGACAAAGTGGCTTCCGTGCTCGATCCATCAACTCGATCCGTGGTTTAGCAGCTGCTTGGGTTCCCGCTCGCTTTGCTCCCACCTCACAGCCGTCCAGCTCCGCTTCCTCCTCTTCCTCCAATGATGATAGCTCTTCGCTCGGTGCCATTAGCCCTCGACGCAGGGATGGATTGGCTCTGGCACCCATGTCTAGCATCCAATGTAAAGAGGTGGCGCGTCACGGGGCGACAGATGCCAAGCGCCCGGTTAAGCTCGACCGAAGGCGTTTGGACAAGGCCGTCAGTCTGGCTGTTGAAGCTGCCCAGGCTGCCGAAGAGGATGAGAGGTTGTGGGAGGAGAAGCGTGCAAAGAAGGCGGCACAAATAACTGCCAGCCCAAATACTTCGGCCCGTCCAGCCCTCAAAGCAGCTTGGTCTTCTTCGAGCCGCAGCAGCAATGAAGATAGTCGCCAGCTCACTTGCTTCGCAGGCAATGCTGATGTTGATACTGGCTTGACTTCGGAGGATGAGCACGATGAGGAGGAGGATGACGGTCTGGGCTTTTCACTGGATCTTTACATCTCTTCGCTCGGATATCTCATCTCCGCCATCTCTGATAAAGAAGCACCTGGACTCAGCAGCAAGCAGAGGCAAGACATTCGACAGCGTCTCGAGGAGGGAATGGCGAAACTTGGCTTTGATGCCAAGGCTGAGCTCGAGAAAGCAGAAGCCATGAAGCGCGAGCTAGAGCTTGAGCGTGAGAAGCTTCAACTCCAACGACAGCATAACGAAGCGTCTCCCACCGCAAACGTCATTCACCACCACTATCACACAGCTGTACCGGCCAACAGCTCCGTCTTTGGCGACGCCAACTTTTCGCGTGCCCATGCTGCTGCGAAAGCCTCGTCTCGCGGGTCTTCGTCTTTGGCTGGTAAGATCAGTTCGTCGGTGCTCGACATTGGACTCCATATCGGTGCGGGTGCGCTGTCGGCGCTGTCGGCCAATCTCTCGGCAATTGCACCAAGGGCTGTTCGAAGGGGGTCTGCTGGGTCTGTCTCGTCGTCAAAGGATAAGGGGATGGACGACCTAAGGATTACCGATCTGGACAATGACGAGGATCTTCAGGGCATGCCCGCAATCGATGCTTCGCCTCGTCTCTCTTCGTCGCAGCCTGGCAGTGGTGCTGCCACCCCGCGAACTGCTTGGACGAGGGCGATCAGTCAGAATAACAAGCAGTGGGAGCTTGCGGTTGCCTTTGCTAGTACGGCTGCTTCGGCGCTGGCCAGCAGTCTTGGTGCTGTTGCGAGGAGCGAAGCTGCAAGCGACTCACCGTCGACCACTGTTACCTCATCCACCGGAACTGGTCCTCTAACACACGAACAGCAACTGCATCTTGCACGCTATGGTCATCTTGAAGGCAACACGACTGGAACCCAAGGAGCAGAGTCTGCCGAAGACCGTCTGATTCTCTTGTCAGCATCCCTCGCTCGAGCACTCAAACGCTCGCCACTTCCAACCCAGCTGTATCAGCTACTCCGACAGATGGTTTCGATCCTAGCTGCCATCGATGCCAAGTACAGCCTCTCGCAAAAGGGCACCCAACTGGCCGTCCGCGAAACTAGCCGTGCTATGCGCTTCGTCCGTCGTCACGACCTCCATGTCAAAGCTGTGCGCGTAGCTTGGGCTGCAGCAGAGGCCGCAGTTGCCGCTTTGGAGGCCTATCGCGACGAGAAGGGCTGGAATGAGCTACAACAACAGCAGAAGGGAAGGATCGCTGCTGGTGAAAGTACTCCCACCGGAAGCTATTCGCCTTTCACAGCTAGAATGGGGGGCAACACGCCAATATACAGCGGTTCCCCTCCAAAGGAAGGAAAGATGCAGGCTGCTATTGAGGATAAGAGATCGCTCGAGGCAAAGATTGATGATGCCGAAGCACAGATCCTTGCCGCTGCAGAGGGCAAAACGCAGCACGCTGGTCAACGGGCTTGAGCATCACTATAACTCGCGCTATCTCTCATTGTTGGGCCCTTCAGCTTTCCGTTTGATTTCTAATCATTGGTCTGTAACACAACACGCTTGGACCTTTCACCACGACCTTTTGGGGTCTTTGTTGACCTCACACACTCTTTTGTATACCCACCGCCAATCGGGAGGGCTGAACTGCTCTTCTTTTGGTTTCTCTTTGATACCACCACCTCCACCACCGCCGCAATGCATTGCAGTTGCAATCGAATAAAACGGTTGCATAACGTATTCAGGATGGATGTTTGTTTTCCACTTTCTGTCTGATGTCTCACGCTCTGGAACTTGCTTGAAAGATTCACCAAGACTTGACCCCTGAACCACAAGCATGCAAAGTTCCCTGCATGGCAAAGAGGCGAAAGGGCAAAGTTGTGGAGCGTCGAGTAGACGATAGCGAAGTTGCCCCGAGGGAGGTTTCGGCTCAGTAATGCACCTTTTTTTGTCAGTACGATATTATATACGAGTCGCTCAGACATTGTTCTATTCAGCTTGTGACAACTGACTCAAGCTGCCATCATAGGCGCCACCTTTGCTGGATGGCTCCACGGCCGGCTTGTCGCGATGTAGTGCTTCCAAATATCAGCGCCGGCGTCTCGTCGCGCTGCTATCCGCGTTCTCTTTTGCGTCTTTGATGAGGAGCCATTGAGGGTTTCTACTGGTTTGGACACGCATAAATCGCGTTCCTAGGCATGTTGATCTGATAGCCTGTGCAAGGATTTGTGCATCTTGGTATGTGTACAGTACAGTACTTGAGTTTGTTTGTGTACGGTTGAAAAGATTAGATTGACAAAAAAACAAAACATGCAGGAGCCCAACTTGGGGAAGTACTAACAGGACCATGATGTTTTACGGATCCCATTCATCAACACATTCGTAAAAGTCCTTCAAGATCTTTTTCTGCGCCGACCTATTCTCCTCATCCTTCTCACCGTTGATCGCTCGGACTACAACATATTTCCTCCCCGTCAACAGCTCGGGTGTAACCTTGTTGAAATCGTCTCCATCTTGTTGGATAACCTGCTTTGCATGGGCTTGACTACCAACAACCGCAGCTCCAGCTTCTTGAGCAATCACAATACCTGCACAAACATCCCAAGCCCAACAACCAATTTCCCAGTATAAATCCAAACTTCCACTGGCCACTGCGCAAAAGTTCAAAGCGGCACTACCAATGCTTCGTACGCCTTGAGCCATTTTTCCTCCTACGACGCCTCCAGATGCGTCACCGGTGATCTTGGCGAAAGATGAAAGTTTCTTGCTGAGAATTTCGCTACGTCGATCACTACCCCATTCGAAAGCGACCAATGCCTGATTGAGGTCGTATAGAGGTAGTGGATTTGCAAGAGGCAAACGACGCGGAGTCTGATGATGTGGACTAGAAATGTACGAGCCTTTACCCAGACAACCATGATAAAGTGTATCCATAAACGGCGCATATACAACCCCAATATGAGCCTTCCTATCTATCACCACTCCAATACTAATGCAAGTATAAGCAAATCCATGAACAAAATTCGTAGTTCCATCAATAGGATCAACAATCCAAGTCACCTCTTTCCCAATCACATTCTCCTCCCCCGCAGCCCAAGATTCTTCACCTATAAAAGTATGATCAGGAAAACGAGAAGAAATTTCACTTTTCACCAACGCTTCCACCGCCTGATCCGTCTCAGTAACCAAATCAGCCGTGTTTTTCTTCTGATCAAATCCCGCAGATGACAAAAATCGACGCGAAGATCCATCAACAATACCTCGCCCAGCTTTGCGAGAGAGGTCGATAGCAAAGGTGTAGATTTCCTGAATGTCTGCTTCCGACATCGAAGACATGTTGGGACCTAGATGTTCGAAACCAAGAAAGAGGAATGGTTTGGCAAAGTAGAAAAAAGGTGTTGCTGTTGAGAAAAGATGAGAGAGAAGGAAAGGATTGGATACCAAGGTGGTGAAAAGAAAGAAACAAACAAAGCTCTCTCAGCCCGTGCGCAAGGGATCTTCTTCCATGCGTTCCACCGTCATCCCAAAACGTGCCGCTTCTCACGCCAAGACAACCTGCCACTACCAAAACACAACATGTGAGCTAACGTCAATTATATTTGCACCACAAAAATGGTAGGATATCAAGTCCCAGTTAGTACAATGGTTAGTATAGGGCACTCTCAAGTTTCGGTCATCTTCGGATTACCGAGCACTGCTCAGATCAGGGTTCGATTCCCTGGCCGGGAAATTTTTTGGTTGTTTTTTATTTCATTTGAGGCCTTTTTTGAGCCTTACTTTTCTGTTCGGATTTCTTTTCTCTATTTTTTATTATTATTATTATTTATTTATTTCCCCTTGAGAGTTTATCTTTCCTCTCTACTGACCGTGGAGATGTAGAGGTTGAAACGGTCGCGACCTATTGGCGCGCACTCTATCATTGCTCCGACTCAAGATCGCCGATCACACTCGGAACATAACATAAAACTACAGGGGGATGCATTCCAATAGAGCAGTCGAAAGGGGTTTAAGGGTGGTTAGGACAATGTTCATTAAAGGTGGTTTGCAAGCTGTGACAGCCCAGATGGGCGCACTATCTAGATTTCGAAGGAGGGTTGGTGGTCGAGGGGTCTATGCAGTCTGATCCATCTCCAGCTTGCCACCTTCCGGGCTGACCGCTTCACTTTGCAATCCAGACCCAGGATCCGTACCCATACTCAACTCGTACGCCATCATACTCTCATCCGTCCATCCCAGCGGTGCTCCTTTCCCCGTGATACTAGGATCATCCGACATGGGAAGACCCAACTTCTCCCTCAACTGTTCAATCTCCTTTCTGCACACCAAGAGTGCCTGATCTCTTCTCTCCAATCTCTTCTTCAATCGCACCAGATACTCGTTGCTGTGTCGTAACAGCGCCACCTTGCTAATGGCTTTATTCGCCGAGCGGGCCATTTCCGGATCACCTACTTCGGAAGGGTCGAAATGTTCCGCTTCCCTATCCTCTTCCACTCCATCAGGACCCAAAAGAGACCCGTTGGGTGCGTCTTCATCCAGCGTGATGGCGGGAAGCAGGCCGCGCAGCTCGTCAAAGCAAAATTTGAGAGAGTCGCGACGCTTCTGTTCTGCGGCTTTATGAGATGTTCGCCGAGATTCGAGTCCGCCTGCTGACTTATACGACATCCAGGCATCCCGATCGGCCTGCGAAAGTCCGCCCGGTTGAATCGGCATCCCCCCCATTTGAGGGGGCAGATTGAAGGTGACTTTGGGCCCAGCGGCGGAGGAAGGGAAAGGGGCAATGTTGGGATACATCTGGTGTGCAGGCGCTTGTTGGGTAGGCATCCCTATTGACGGCTGTTGCGGTTGTTGTTGCTGCATCATGATCTGCTGCTGCTGCTGCTGCTGCTGTTGTTGTTGCTGGAAGTCATCGCGATTCTTGCCCTTGAGTGCGGAAGAGATGGCAGCGCCAACACCGGTACCGCGATTGTTAGGGGTGTTGGCTGAGCGCTGGTCAAGCGATGCACCAGTCGACGGGCTCGAACGAATTCCCATGATAGAACTGGGCGTCAAGATCTTGTTTGTCGGGCCCGAGGGAGGAGGCATAGCGCCACCACCCGACAAGTCGATCGGCGAAGGCGTCGAAGAAGTGCCTTCACTCTGCCCTGCTTCCGTCGACTGATGCCTCGAGTGCGAACCTATCCCAGCATCGGGAGCAGCCGTGATGGAAGCTCTGCGCGAGCCTGGACCCGAAGATCCACCATTTGCCAGCCCATTGCCGTTTGCCAAAGGCGTCGCTGTGCTGGGCGAAGCGAGACTGGCTGTATCCTTCTTCTTCTTGATCGAAGGGCCGGGTACAGGCTTGATCAGGGGCGAGGGTCGCACCTTGTTGGCACGCGCTTCGGCGGTGGTGCTTCGATTCTTGCGAATCTTGGAAGAGCCCTTTGCGATCAAGGCGAGCGGCGAAGCGGTGGGGGTGAAATTATTGTTGACTGCGTTGATCGCCGGTGAGCCGTGCATGGCGGCTTGTTGCGATTGCTGGTGCTGCTGCAGCTGGGCCGGAGGCAACATCATCTCGCCCAGACTTGGCGGCTGTGGACCGAGCGCTGGCGAGGTAAGAGGTGAAAAGAGCTCGGACATGACAATGCCGGTGCTGCCCGTCGAAAAGACGCTTGCCGGGGTCACGGCTGGCGATTCAAGCGGGGTATAGTTGCCCAAGTAGTCATGACCTGGCCTATGCTCCACACCGACACTACCGGGCTGCGAGTTGGGCTGGATGGTGAGGGGGGACATAAAGTTGGCGGAACCTGGAGGGCATGCGGAGCTGTTGAAAGGTCCAGAGCCCATAGGTGTGATGAGACCGTACTGAGCCAATACGTTGGACTGATCGCCCTGTGCACCAGCTTGACCCTGAACACCATTCATTTGTTGCTGCTGCTGCCATGCGTTCTGACCTTGAGCGTGCTGTTGCTGATGCTGCTGGTATTGCGCAGCTTGAAGTACGTTGTTGTGTGCACTGGGGTTGTTGCCGGCAGCAAAAGCATTCTGCAAAGCCATCAGGAGACTCTGCTGCTGACCAGGTGAGAGCTGCCCTGCAGATCCGGACAGATTGAGCTGCAGATTGGGGGAAGGACCAGCACCCTGCATGTGCTGCTGAGGCTGTTGATGTTGTTGGGGCTGTTGAGGCTGCTGTTGCTGTTGTCGGTGATGTTGCTGCTGCTGTTGCTGCTGATGCAAGCGCGAGAGTTGATCCAATTGCTGCTTGAGGAGGGCAGTCTGCATGTTCTGAATGCGTTCGGTCCTCTCACGCTCGAGAAGCATCTGCTGCAAGTCTGAGATGGAGAGCTGAGGCACCTGAGTATCTTGCTCGTTGGACTGCGATTGCGTGGAATGCGATGCCTGCATCGAGGGAGCAGCGTGCTTTTGGTCTACAAAGTCGGAACCGGCAAAGTTCATGTCGGAAGGTGCCGCGGATGGCGGGCGATTGTGACTGTGCTCGTTTGATGCAGGGTTGATGCTGGCACTGGCTTGTGGGCTGGCGGACGAGGTGTTGTCGAAACGGTTACGCGAGAAACCCAAAGGAGAGTTGGTATGCGAGGAGCTATTCAAGAAAATGCCTGCAGTGTGATTGTTGGATGGAGGGTGGGATTGCGTGTTGGAATCTGATGAAGCAGCAGCGGCTACGTGGCCAAAATTGGCGGAAGGACTTGGATGGTGACTGACGGGTGCTGAGCCTGCTTCAGAGTGGGCGTTATGTGTAGAAGAAGGTGCAGTAGTGCTGCTGGGGAAGATGTTGAGATCTTCGATGCCCGAGTTTGCTGTAGAGAAATCGGGGTTGCCAAAGTCAAACGTATCCATGAAGGAGTTGGGCGTTGATGACGATGGGAAGGGGTTATACGACGAGGCTGGACTATTCTGCATGGTATACAAGATTGTTACAGGAGGTGGGTCGGATGCAGTTGGTCCTTTGGAATGATGCGCCTCTCAGCAATGATGGAACAAGATCGTCTCGGTCGGGTGGGTCGGAAGAGCCGAACCGACGTCGCAGCGTGGCACCTGGTCCGTGCTTGGCAGCGGTGTCGATAGGACGAGAGTTTAGATCGAGTTCAATCGTCTATGCGAAGACAAGGATGTCACCTGAGAGAGAAGAATTTTCCTAACGAGGTACGTGCGGGTCAGCTGGAGATTCAGGACAAGGCGTGTGTGAGTGCTGGACTCCGTGTGTGCGCTTGGATGGATGCGGCGGTGCAGCAAGGTGTCGTTTCAAGCAGTGCAAGTTTGAAAGCGAACGACGAGGAGGCAAATGTGCAATGAGTGTAGAAGGATGGTAGAGAGAAGATGACAATGATGATGATGATGCTGATGATGAGGAGGAGCAGCAGCAGTGAGTGATGAGGTGAAGATGACCGATAGTCAAGAGATGGCGAATAGTGCGTTCCATATCCACGTCCAGATCAAAATCAAGATCGCGGTCAGCACAGCGCAGTGTGTACCGTCTTGCCTGCTCGTGCTTAAGCTTGTGCTCGTGCTTTTGCTGCTGTGGGCAAATTGACTGTGCTTTTGGCTGCAGGAAAGTGTCGGGTGAAACTAAAAATCAACACCGGAAAAAAAAAAAAAAAAAAAAAAAAAAAAAAAAAACAGAAAAAAAAAGGGTTGGAAGCTTCACATTCAGGGCGGAGGAAAAGCAAAGCAAGACCAAGACCAAGACCAAGACCAAGAACAAGAACAAAGGGGCAACTCGGGCGCAGATGGGAAAGAGCCGTGATGTGCCTGCAAAGATGCGGATAGATTATCAAAAAGGGCAGCACCGCGGCAGCCATCGGACGATTGGCGAGCGAGCAAAGTGAGAGGCAGCAGCGGCAGCAGCGGGTTACGAAGCGAAGTCAAAGAGCGCGTTTGGTGGGCGCAGCAACAGAGTCGTGCGTGTTCCAAGTAGCAGCGAAGGCAGCACTCTGAGAGAGAGAGAGAGAGAAAGAGAGAGGGAGGAAGACCAGCTTTCACCCTTCATGACCGTGAGACCCACCCTTTCACTCCCCCCCTGTTTCTCCGCCTTGTCTCTCCGACCCGTAAGATGCCCCGATTTTGGATTTTTTCTCTCTTCCGGTTGCAATTTTTGGACTTTCAAAAAATTTCGAGAAAAATCATAAAATCATGCGCTTTCACAGTGACAGGTTTAGTGGCTGTCCCCTTCTCGCATGACCCTTGCTTGTTTTGCTCTTGCTCTGCTTCTTTTCTTTATTTCCACCGAGTTGAGAAGATTACATTTGCAGCTGTGAGCGTCTGGTTTTTCGTTTTTTTTTGTTTTTTTTTTTTTGGGTGATTTAAGAAACATCTTTGCAGAGATGTCCTTCTTCTTGAAAGCATACTGCAGTACTGCATGCGATCTTGGTCTCCATTGCAATACTGGATCAAAATGGGAGAACGGGAGATCCGTTGATCGTCCGACCTTTGCAAAACAAATAAGGGTGCCGATACATTACACAGCACAAGAAGTGTGAGTACAAATTCAAGGACATGGTGTAGGCGCCCAAGTCGCGCGAGCTGCGCGGCTTCGATAAGCTACTGTACAACTAGGACGACGCAATTCCGCCATCTACCGGCGACATGTACTTGCACCACTTCTGTCCAAGAAGCATGACACCCTGCATTTCATTGGTATGCTTCAATGACTGCCACTGCTGCGGAAGCCACCTCGCCGGACACACGCAAGCCACCTTTCTGTACGTATAGTGTGCGTCTTTTTTTTTTTTTGT